TATACTTTAACATACTTGTACCTGATGATGACAAAACCTTGTCGAAACGTTGTACATTTGCTGTTATGTTAAACTTATATTAAAGTTTTTCTTCATTACCCATTCAAGCCGTCTCCAGCCATTACAGTGTATAACGCTTTTTTTCGCTGTTTGTGATTGGACCAGTTCGTTCTTATGTTATCTGACCCTGAACCTATCATCAGGTGTCTTAGGTCCTGTCTGGCGTCTCACTAGAGGGCACTAGTGGCGACAAGGGTTTTGTAATAACTGCGGCGGGAATTAACAAAACTGAATATCGAAGTTAATAAACCCAAGAAACGTTTTGCAGTAATAATATATTAAATTTTAAATCTTTAAATGTTTTTTTGTTGCGAGAAGTCTCAATCACTACCATGCATCTAAAAAAAATGTGCCACGTATACTTCAAACGCTGGTTCACTAGTTAATTCGTGTATTAGTGTCGCACACATTATCTCACCTGCACAATATTCAACTTTCAAGTCACGATTTGGTGAAATTACTTATCACAAGGAAATAATAACACTTGATTTGAAGAAGGTAAGACAGATCAACGACGTTTACTGAACTTCTGTGATATGTTGATTAAATATAATAATAATAATTTCAATCCTATTATAACATTTAACGAAAGCACTTAGACTTATGAGAAAGTAGAAGTATAGAATCAATAGGTTTTGTTTGTGTGAAATGTTTCCATGCTAATCGTGTAAGTTTCGCAACAATTTAGAAAATAAATAATTAAATCGTTTCACTTATTTTCTCACAGGAATCCAAACATACTCGAGAGACAAAGAAAAATAGGAACTTTTGGGAATACTTTAGTAAACTAACTGGTTTTAGTGGGTGTTTTTTAACATTTCTAACTGTCTGTAAACGTGTGCTTATACACGAAGCAACGAAGATATATTTATATTTAACTAAATAAGCCGCATGAGGTTATAGACTAACAGATATTTATAATTTCGTCACAACTTACCCTTATTGAAAATGGTAGTATTTGCAAGGAACACTGATTTGTCAGCATCATATACGTTTCGGATGAATACCAGAAAAATACATTTATGTGTAGGTTAATAAGTAAATCGCCGATTTATTAAACACCTTAATATCTCTCCAAAATATGATATTATTATTAATATAATACGTTAACATAGATTTCAAATAATACGCCCGAGTTTTTGTTATTTTTTAATTACCTGAATAACATTTTATGTTTATATAATGTGTATGTGTGTGTGTGCATAGTTTTCTTTCTTCAATTAATTAAGCACCTTGACATAATTGATACAAAATTGTTTTATTACTTGGATATTGATTAAATGACAACTACGTCTGGAATGAGTAATATACGTAAATATTAATTCCTTTGAGTGATGAGATGTTCAAAAACATTAATTTCCATAAAATGGATTTCTTCAATGGTTTTAAAGTTTCTTTAATTGGTGTTTGCATCCACGTTACCTTAGTTAGACGTTTAACTGATTACTTTGGAAGGAAGACAATTATATAATTAAAAATACATTTTATTATTGCAATAGAATATTAATTAAGACATGGTTTTATAATTTATAGTATTAGTTTTTCTTGCCAGGTTTTTTAGCCAGTTTCTGTATATTGATTTTAATGCTTTATAATTGTATATATATATATAAACAACAACAGAGAACGGAACATGAAATGTGATCCGAAAGTAGTATTCGGAATGCTCTTAAAATCAGTGTTTACAATGGAAAATTTAATGAGCGACTAATTTAATCAGTAAATAAACAATTTTTATATCATAAAGGGATATTTTAGCAAATCACGTTAGTTTCAGACTTTTTGTCAATCTTATATGTTCCCCTTTTTTTTAATTCCATATTTTAAACTGTTTTGGATACAAATAATAGAGCCATGTGGACGTGAAAAAAGACAAGTATTGCTAGAAATAATGACTCCAATGCTGACTTCTCCTGTCAATCCTCCAGACTCCGCCAGCTCCAGTAATTACCTCCGCTATATGATGTCCCCACGTAGTTCTATGTCCATTACTTATACTAAAGGACTTCTCAATATGCAGGGTCAAAACAACTATTTCCTCAACAGTGCTGTACAGGTAATTTTACATGCTTAATTTAGTACTTTATTATTATTATTCAAGTTATTCCTTTCTGTGGGTTTAGTACATTTAATTGTAAATAAATCAATAATAACTTGTTTTTATGCGATGGTCATTGTCCTCTCGTTTTATTTGGTGGTAAGCTAGTTCAGCTGAAATACACAGGTAACTCGTGGTATAACTTCTTTGCGTGTTAACTTGTTTTACCTAATGTGTTTTTGTGGGAAGGCGCATGAACGATGGTACAAACACGTACACCGTATAAATTACCTTCACGCTGGATCTCATAATATTACTTTCTGTTTGTTTGATTTGCTTTGTCATGAGCAGAAACAACAAAAGCTGCAATTCCCTATTTCAGTTTCTATTCCTCACGTCTATTTCAAATCTAACATCCGAATTAGGGGTTGTTGTTGTTTTTTAATATATCCTAAGCTGCTTTACTGTAACCGTGATCACATGAACCGTGATCTTTCTCGTTTTCAAAGTGTATATCTTCTTTCTTTCCAGTGGTTAAACTTAAATAGAGGGAGGGAGATACGCACAGGTGTGTGTGTGTCTATATATGTATATACCGGTAAGAAAAAATACTGGCAAAAACTCTCTTTGGTTTCACACGAAAATACGCTTGGCTTTAATTAATGACTCTGCAATGTTTCACCTCAGGTCACTGCCCTCATCCCTCGGAAACACCAACCTGCCCCTCCCTACATATACGGACGCGGGTTGGACTTGTAGTCGAGCTCTGAACTTCGGAGCTGGTAAGCTCGGTTCAAATCCGTGCGATACCAGATTATATCCTCACACACACACACACACACTTTATTTAAGCTATTTATAAGAATGACAGTAAATACTAAATAGGGATGGCGGCGGGTAGCCTTAAAAGCTTTGTAATAAGTTCAAAATAACCAACAAATACCTGAATATCGACACATTTTGCAAATCACTTTAAACATTATATATTTCTTATGCCTAAAAAAACTGGATCAAAAACAGAAATTTTACTGTACCATTCACTTCTATTACTCAATTCAATAACACAATATGAAGAGGACTGTGACCGCTTATTACCTAAATACCATTCACAAGGTAGGCTTTTGATACTTCAGTTTTTCCTCTCTAGTGTCAAGAAGGAGAATTACAAATATATACTCTAAAATATTTATGAAAGTTTTTCTCACACACAAAAAAAGCTGACATTTTTTTGTGCACTCTGGATTTTATCAAAGTTAAGTATCTTATTCCTAAGTTCTAGTTTTACTCGAATGTTTGAAATGAATAAAAATATATTAATATTTTGATAGTAAACATAAAATAGTCAATGCTTATCATAACCCTATGCATGTATGTATATTCTGTACATGGCCCTATGTTAATAAAATGAGCTTGATACATTTGTACACCAGTATAAAATATTAAACACGCTAGCGAGAGTGATTTTTAGTTTAGTATTACACCATGGAATGCGCGCAAGACTTATTACTAGATTAATTATACACATGTGTTTTGAATTTTATAACGACGTAATGAATTATTTCCAATTATTCGAATTTGAGTAAATCGATAGAAATATACGGTGTGCGTGAAACTGAATATGTAAACCAAAGCAATTTGATTAGCGTTGTACAAAGAGAATAGACGAAATCAAGAAAAAAGTATTAAACAATGGGTTGAGTGCATATAATAAAACGATTTTGAGTATGCAAATCAGCAAGTCACGTAACAACCACGTCCTCTACAAAGTTAAGCAGGAATGGCATGTATCAGAACCACATTTTGACCTTGTTTAGGGTCTTGTAGGTAGTGTGATGCTACAGAAAACTGAACACTTTTGGGAAGGTTATATAAAAGCCCTTTCTGACAGGAAATATTCATACAGTCAGATCATAAAGGTGTGTTCAGATCGTGTATTTAGAATTTCCAAGACGGGGATATCCTTCGTACTTAACGGCATGATTACACAAGCCCCAATCTTCCCTTGTACTTAATGGTATTGAATAACAAAGAATAACTGCCACAACCGCTAACAAGTTACGAAGGAACGGCATGTATCACAACTACAGGGACCGAACGCGCAGTTTATCTAACGGGATTACACAAGCCCCAGTCTTCACACCATTTCAGTTCCTGACAGAAAAAGCAAACAAAGAATAATTCTGAGTTAAGTAGGTCGACGAGTGAAACAAATTCATTCTTAACATCAGAATATATCCCAAAATGTTACTTTGTCTCTACCGTGAAAGCTTGTCTGACCAGAAGTGAGCTAAACCAGTTGCAAAGGTCCGCATTAATCTTGGGTATGATTTTGAGTACGATAAACTTACGTAAAATGTTTCATTTTTTGTTTAACATTACGATAACTCCTAGTCTATTTCGAGCAAGTTTTCTACTTATAACTGTTTGGTTAAGGTTTGATGGAAGTCATAGGTTCATTCAGAATCAGTTATACTGAGACTGTAACTAGCTAAACTACTTGAGATTATTTGAATACCCATTTATTAGGAACAAGCAAACAAATATTTTACTCTTCTGGTTTTTTATTCTATATTAATTTCTTCGACCGGATTTTTTTTGCGATACTTTAAATATGTGGAGGTTAGAAGGCAGAAGTGGTTGTGTAAAGTTAGTTGGAACTGTGAAACCGTAGGAACTATTACTAAGAATTATGAAAAGGACAATAGAATTCTCTGCAATATTATGTCCTGAAGAGTGACCTTTGGAATCACGAAACCGCTCGAAGAAATTAATAAAGAAGAGAAAAAGCAAAATAATATAATATTAGAGTGTTTTGTTATTATGTATTATATATATATATATGTATGTGTGTGTGTGTACTTGATCTATGTATATATTATGATAAGTTTCAAAGTATGGTCCAGTTTTGAATAACTTTAAATGGTACATATATACTACTTGCATCAGTCCTGCAGTTTTTAAAAACTTAATTTGCTATTAGAACTTTATACCGGCACACTTAAATGCTTTCTGTAACACTAAATATATTTGCATTTTGATTGATTTTTTCGGCTTGGCACTAGACTTCTCAAACACTATCTTTAGATGCCATAGTTGTGAGATCACCTTTTTATTTGCTTTGTGGAACTGCATTCACTTCGCAAAACGTGTGTGACTTTATGTGATATAGTTCTAAAATATAAATATATGTACAACGTTTCAAAGAATTAAGAAATCTGCTTTCCTAAGTCAATTTTTATAGCAAAAGTGTATATCTGGGACTAATAATAAAGCATGGGCGAATTTTGAAGACATGTCTATTGCAAAGTATAATTTCTTTTTAATCTTCAGTGTTAGCATGTTTTGCATAAAATATTCAAAATTATGAAGATTATGTAATTAAAATTTAACCGGACGATGGTTTAAAAGATAAGTTTTTGTACTCGAGTTTAAATTGCAAGTTAGAGTTACTAGTGGCACAATAAGCTCTAGAGAACACGTTTATACATTTCAAGACTTTGGTTTCTAATTTCAGACTTTACCTTGTCCTGATTCCAATATTGTTACTATAATATACTTCTGATCGCTAATCAAAATTTTGTTAACAAAGAATTTTGTCCCCCCCCCCCCGATGGGACAGCGATATGTTTACATATTTACAGCTCTCTGTACATATAAATAAAATTAACTCAAAAAGTAATTTTATTGGCTGTATAATCCGAGTGCATAAAGATGTAACATTTTTCTATCCAGAGGAAAGCTTAAAGTTTTTAACTGAACAGAACAATCCCTCACTAATGCTTCGTAACCACAGGTGCACACAGAGTTGAATAAATGTTGGGTACTCTATCCACCTAGCTTGAGATAGTAAGAATAAAAACGTGACTACAGCAGCCCCATTGTTACCGGTAGAAAAAAAAACACACACACTTGCTTATCATCCAAAGTTTACGATTAGTAGATGCAGTGATGGTCTTTGAAAGTTCTGTCATATATTAGGTTAGTTACAAAAAGTTCATTGTTATCACCCATCCGTAACAGAAGATAAGTGCACTTGTAACAATGATTTTCTTTCATGCTTGATTTCAGTAGATAATATGAATAAGTACGTTACACGTACGTGTGTGTGTGTACGTGAGTATAGTGAATTCATACAATTTAAAGCTTGTAAAGGACATTAAGTTTGTTATGATGTTTTTTATACTTATGGTATTTAATGGTTTGTGAAATAAAGAACTTCCAGTCCCATTTGAATTAAATGTTTTGGGAGGAGAAAGCTATTAAAGTATGTATACTTTGAATGATATTTTGCACAAGCGTTTTTCACCCTTCTAATGTTGAAAACTATTAGGAAAAAATTTCGTCTGTGTGGCATAATTTTTGTTCAAGACAGTTTCTGTCGCTTCATTGCTGTTTTGAAAGTAAAACGTACTGTTTGAGTTAAGTGTTTGTAAATAACAAAAACTCACTAAAGTATCCAAATTTAGCATCTAATGTGCAGTCGTTTAGGAAGGTTATGTATAAATATTAATATGAACATGAGGAGCAAGAGAAATATAATCAAAAACACCTTAGGTGTGAAAAAAAAGGTGCGGCCAAAAAAGGACTGAGCGTGCGATTTAAAGGAATTAAATCAAAATTGGCGGCCAAACTGGTAGCTACACTTATAGCATTAAAAAAATTTTACAGCAAATATTCATTTATTAGTTAGCTAGGCCGCGTATTTTGTTCAAATTGGGGGCATGATGGTGGGTAAAACAAAATACGCGGCCTAACTAACTAATGAATGAATATTTGCTGTAAAATTCTTATCAATGGTACAAGTATAGCTACCAGTTTGGCCGCCAATTTTGATTTCATTCCTTTAAATCGCACGCTCAGTCCTTTTTTGGCCGCACCTTTTTTTTTTCACACCTAAGGTGTTTTGGATTAAATATCATGTGGCTTATATTTACACCAAAGAAGACTCATAATTATAGGTTACAAAGATCTAACAGTGTATCAAACCTGAAAAAAAAACCCATAAAAGTTAAGTAATG